TGAGCCCAGCGTCCTCCTACGCCGCCATCTTCCCTACAACTCCAGTAAACTCTCCACTTATTTGTTAATTAGCACACACTTGTATAGTGCTTAGTATTTACCAGGCGTTGTTCTAAGTTCTTTCCAGGCATTAATTCATGTATTTTCATAAGAACTCTAGAAGATAAATATTATTATAATCTCGATTTTACAGGTGGGAAAACTGAGGCATTTTATAACTTAGTCCTTATATAATAATTCCATCATATCTGATATTTCTAGATTTGTTGCTTTTTATTTATTTATGTATTTATTTATAAATCTGGATCTGTAGTATTGATTAATTTTTCTTATGATTATGGGGCTCATTTTACCTGTGTCTTTTTTGTCAAGTAATAGTTTACTGGATGTTGAACATTATATTGTGTTTTAAGATCTGGATTTTGTTGTATTCTTCTAAAGAGCATTGGACTTCGTCAGGAAGTTAAGGTTCTTGTGGTTCAGCTTCATCTTTTTGAGACCGATTTTTAATTCTTGGATTTCTACTGAATACCATAAGTGTTGGATGATATCTCCTTACTGATCAGAATGTGAACAGCTCATAGCCCTCTGTGGGCTCTGGGAATTGTTCAATATATAGCTCACTAATAGATGTTTGTTGTTGTTGTTGTTGTTTGTTTGTTTCTTTTTGTTTTTTTGGGTTTTTGCTTGGCCTTATAATCTTACTCTACTCATGGTGTAGCTTAGTATTCAGAGACATTAGTGGCCCTTATATAGATTTATGGAGTTTTTTTTCCCACAGCTCCATAGTTCTTTCTGCATAGCTCTCTCCTCTTCTCTCCTTGATCCTGAAAATTCCAACTACTCCACATCCCCCAGGTTTTTATTTCTGTCTCTTCAACTTAGTGCTTCTGTAGTTTTCTGCTTGAGTTCTTCCTCCCTGGGAAGTGTTTCCAAAGCAACAGCCAGGGCTGTCATGAAGCTCACCCCTCTCCCTTTTCTCAGGGACAACAGCCCTGTACTCCCCCATGGTCCACTATCTGAAAATAGTTGTTCCATATATTTTGTCAGATTTTTACTTTGTTTGCAGCAGGAGAGCTAACCTGCTTCAAATTACTTGGTTATGACTAGTAGTGGAAATTTGATAATTTCAGACTTAGTATGTCCTAAACTGAAATCCCAACCTTCCCAGGAAACCTGCTCATCCTTTGGCATCTCTGTCTTCTCGGTTGATCAGGCTAGATAGAAACTTTCATTCCTTCCTTTCATACTCCATAGCCAGTCCTTGAGCAAATCCTGTTGGTATTCTACCTTTAAATTATATTTGGAATCTGACCACTTCTCACCATATCTTCTAACTCACTGATTTTAATTGCCATCAGCTCTTGGATTACTACAAGAACTGATTATTACTAGTAGCTCCTAAACAAGGTACCTTGTTCATATGTAGTCTACTCTCAACACAGAAACCAGATTAAAACACAGATTAGATCATATTCCTTCTCTGCTCAAAACCTTGCATTGGTCCCCTATTTCACCTAGAATAGAAGCCATACTTGATGTGACCTTGTGAGCATCTGTTATTTCTCTCACCTTTCCTTTTAGCACTTGCTCTTTCTAGACTTGCTCCTTGTTTTGTAGTCCCCAGTAACCTCTTTACTGGTCCTTGAACACATCACCTCATTTCAGCCATAGTACAGAATGCTCCCTTTGCCCAGAATGCTTTGCCTTCAGAGATCCTGACTCTCTTCCAATGTCCTTCTTTCTCACTAAGAGTAACCTTGCCATTGTATTTAAAATTGAAACCCTTCTATCACCTAGCACCCAATTCCCTTTACCATGCAGTCTTTTCTTTTTCTATAACATGGATTACTTTCTAATAAACTTCATAATTTAATTATTATGATTTACTGTCTATCTTCTCTTGTTAGAATGTGTAAGCTACAACAGAAGAGGGTTTTGTTATTTATCTGTTTGTTTGTTTTTAAGAATTGTCCCAAGCACCTAGAATATTGCCTGGGACATAGCAACTTCTCAATAAGTATTTGTTGAATGGATGGCTGAATAAATGAATGGGTAGATGAATAGGTGGATGAAGGAACATATCCCCTTGCTGTTACCAATATACATATGCTGTGTGGGTTGGTGAGAAGACTATTATTTTCCCCCAGTTTTATTGAGATATAATTGAAATACAGCATTGTATAAGTTTAAGGTATACAGCATAGTAATTTGACTTACATATATTGTAAAATGATTATCACAATAAATTTAGTTAACATCTATCATCTTATATAGATTCAAAAAAAGAAAAAGTTTCTTTTTTGCTTGTAATAAGAACTCTTAGGGAGAACAAAGATTATTGATTAAAAACTAGAAAGCCTGGATCCGAGGCTCACCTCTGCCCTTTACTATGTTACATTGGACAGGTAACTAAACTCTCTTTATCCTTGAAATGGACTGCATAATCTCTGCAATGCCTTTTAACTATGAAATTCTATGGAAACTCTTTTAGCTTTGACTTTATTAGATAATTGGAGAAAAGTAACACTCCCTTAAAGCTATGAGAAATACAGTAAGAAATATGATTGTTTAATGATTATTCCCCAGTACCCACATGGTGGGTGAACAAAAACAAGTTTTCTCAGAAACACTTTGAATCTTCTATGTTCCATGATAGTGGAGTATTAGTCCACTTCTCAGTAGCCTCTTGCTTTTTCCATGGGCTTATGCTGATTTCATGTGAACATAATTCTGACTCTTGCCAGATTCACCAATTCCTGGAATCCCTGCTCCAATCTCCTCCCTTCCCAGAAGCCTTACTGTAACCTTACTCTGGGCTATTGTGCCTGAAGATCTCTGACCAATGTTGTATCGCGTATTGTTTTTTGAAATAATGAGTGCAGATCCAGTGTAGTGATTAGGAGGTGGGGCCCTGGAACCAAACTGCCTAGATCGAAATCTTGGTTCTGTCATGTACTTTGTAATTTTGAGCCAATTACTTAACCTCTCTGGACCTAAATTTGCTCATCAATATAAAGGGGATAATAGCATTATCTATCTCTATGGTAGTTAAAGAGAATTGAATGTATTTATATATAAGGGCACATACTAACAATGCCTGCCATATAGTAAGCCCTTGATAATATGAATTATTTTTAATATTATTATGTGTATCTGTTTGATATACTTATGGGACAATGTATATTTTTACTTACATATATTAAAGTCCTCTTCAGAAAATGTTTTCACAGTAATTCTAAAAGCTATTTCTTTATCTTCCTGCCTCTTTTCACGTGTTCATTTTTAATTTGTTCCGTAGTGATCGAACTGTGAGAATTTGGAAGGCTCGCAATTTGCAAGATGGTCAGATCTCTGACATAGGAGATCTGGGGGAAGATATTGCCAGTAATTAAACATGAGTGAAGATAGTCATAAACTGAATACTGTGATAATACTCTGTACGTTCATTATGGAAAAGTTGCCTAATAGGCGAAAATTTATGAATCGGATTAACTGGAAAATATATCTGAATCCAACTGCTGAATATAAATGGTATTCTAATAAAATTGTGTACTAGCCTGTGTGCTTAATTTTAATATCTCCCAAACATATATATCCTATAATCGGTATACTGCTTGATTCACACTTTATTGTGGCTGGATTTTTGTGCCTAGCTATTAAAAAACACCTTAAAATTATTTGAATTGTAAGATGACTGCTTCTGTGACAGAAAACCCCCAGAATACAATGCAACCCATTGGTAATTCGTCATATAGTCTGTTCAGATGATTTATATATTTAAACATACTGGGAATGTTACTCAAATTGTGGTCCGTCTGTCTGGTATTTATATCAGTCTATAGAGGGTTCCCAAATTTCGAAGCTCTTTTAATACAATGGAAAAAAATAAGATAGGAGAATATGATTGATGATTTTGCATAAGGTGGAATTGACCGTCCTCTACTAACAGAAAATGTTAAACAGTTTGTGTTAAATGTTGATGTTTACTTGTATTGACCAAAGTTTTACAGCTGTGCTATATTCTGTGCTCAGGACTAAAATGCTGTTAAATTGTTTTATTAGTGCTGTGCATACATTCTGCGATGGAAGACAATTTTGATGTCCTAACAGAAATATATTTTGATCTATTTTCCTATGGAGTTGTTTCTATTATCACCTTTTAATTTCATTTTTATTTAATAGTATTTCCTTCCCCTTTTATCTAATTTTTTTATATGCTGCTAAATATATTTTAAATACACTGTGTTTGCAAACCTTGGTAGTTATGAGAGCTCTATCATTTGTGGTGGGAAAAGGTATGTAAATAAGTAGATTGTAAAGAATGTCTTACCTTGTAACTGTATGAATTTTTAAATGCTGTAGATTGGATTTTGCAAAAGGATGTATAATTTATCGGTCTGCTCAGAATATTAATTTGTAAATTCTGCAAGTTTAATTTTTATGTAGATGGTATAACATTTGAAAATATTGTCTTGTGATTTTTTTTTTCCCTTTGAGTATATTTGCTTGTAAATGAAAGCTTAGCTACGGCTTCAATAAACATGTTGCTCTGAATTGTTTTTATTCTCTTGTCCTTTTTCTAATTATGAAAATTGTTAGTATTTGTAAAACTTTGTTTTATCTGTGTGTGATATAAGGAAAGGCATTTTTTTTTGTTATCCACTTCATATGCAATCCAGTTTTTGCTCATTAGACATGATATATTCTTGAATAGTTTGAATCATAACCTACTCTTGATGAACCAAAGGAACTCACTATTGAAAGAATTAAATCAGGAATGCCTGGGTGGCTCAGTGGCTTGAGTGTTCTACTTCGGCTCAGGTCATGATCTCACCGTTTATGGGTTTAAGCCCAGTATTCCGCTCTCTGCTGTCAGCACAAAGCCTGCTTCAGACCTTCTGTTCCCCAGTATCTCTGTCCCTCCACCACTCTCTCTCTCAAAACAAATAAACTTAAAAAAAAAAAAGTAAATAGTTGAATCAAACTATGTAATTTAGGCATGTGAACATAGATGGTAAAACAAAAATTATTCCCACAAATATTAGGACAATAGTGACTTTGGTTATCTGGAGAAGAAATAGAGAGGGTGGTCACTGGCAGGTATTGTAGGAGGTGAGTTGGGAATGTAGAGGGGGGTGTGGAGGTGTTTTTGGGGTCCTAGAAATGTTCTACTTCTCAATCTGGGTCCTAAGTTAAACTGTACATGTATTTCTCTTATTTTATGTATGTGTGCTATACTTCACAATGGAGTATATATTTCTTTTGTTTTAAAGAAGGGATTGTCCTGTAAAGAGGAAGTCAGCTACTTTGTAATTTTGCCTCCTTTCCTGGAGGAAAATACTATAAGACCTGAGAGACATTTTTAGGACTATTTTGAATTCCAATACCCTTAGAGTGTTTTTTTTTTTTTTTTTTTTTTTCCATAGGACTATTGCTCAACCATTCATTTGACAATTTATTCAATAAATGTTTATTGAGAATGCCCTGGGCCAGGTACTAGGGACAAAAAAATAGCAAGACTGAGTTGATGCTTGCCCTCTGAGTGGAGAGAGAGAATAAATGTAGCACTTACAGAACAGCTTGGTAAGTGCTCTGACTGGAAAGATCTGGGTGTCTTCACGCCTATTAGAGGCCTGACTGCAAGGCCAATTAGAGGTCTGTCATAAGGTCCGAGCACCGTGTGTGTGTGTGCAGAACACGAAGTCCGGTGTCTGTTTTACCTTTTAAAATGCTTAAGGCTCAAAAGTAAAACATAAAAAAATAAATAAATAAATAAACCGCTGAAGGCTCAGCTAGAGTTGATCTGATTTAAATAGTTCAAATGAATATGTAAAAGAGGCAGTCCTCTTAAAAGACTTTCATTTTGAATTATGTTGGGGGAAGTCATCTAGAGGACATGACCTCTGATTGACCCAAGAGCTAGATCCGGGCAATCAGAGACTCCGCAGCCGCCTCCCCAGTCCTTGCAATGTTATGTTCTGCCCACGTTACCACAGCCGGAGCTGTTTCTGTGTTTCAAGGACATAGCCTTGAGAGAGTTACGTGTTGTTGAGACTCTCTGCGTGATATTGGAGACTGAACCCGGGTAAGTCTTCTACGTAAACTTAAGATTCGGGCAGGCAGGTGTGGCAATCTACTCGTCTTGCGGCCGCCAGAGACAAGCCTCGTAAGTAAATCCCCCTGTTTCTTAAACCTGCTACCTACCAGTTTGGAGGGGCCGCTGCGTTCTTCTGTCTCTCCTTGTACTGGGGCTAGTTTCCCAACCGGGAAAAAAAAAAAAATACCGTTAATCTCTAAAGATTTCATCCAGAAAGGTTAGCAATAACTCTTTTTTAAAATATTTATGTATTTTTTAAAGAGAGCACGAGCGGGGAAGGGGCAGAGAGAGAGGAGACATACGACCTAAAGCAGGCCCCAGGCTGTGAGCCGGATGTGGGGCTTGAAGCCAGGAACTGTGAGATCATGACCTGAGCGGAAGTCTGCCGCTTAACTGACTGAGCCACCCAGACACCCGTTATCGCTAATTTTTAATACAGTTAAAATAGCGCTTCTAAAATTTAAAAGTGGATTACTCTTATGTATGAAATATACGCCATGTCCCTCAAGAATAGTGTCTTTTTTTAGAAGCTAACGTTTATTTCTTCTTTCAAATCCAAATCTTTTTTAGCTAAAGAATAATGACACTGTTTTGCGTATTACTTATCTCCACATTTATTTATTTCCCAGCTGATATGGAATCTTTTATAAAAATTTAAATTAAAATTATCAACATGTAACAATTTTTCTGTACTGCCGTTTGTAATTTTTCCTAAGCATTGACTGCGCCTTATTTCAAAATCAGTTCACATTCTCTTTTTAACCTCAGAATTGGTTGTGTTATTGCTGTGTTGGGGATTTGATTTGCCAGTTACTGTGCAGATACTGATGGTTGGGAATTTGTATTTGCAAATCATGGATATAAAATGTAAAGATTGCTCTGTATGAGCATCATGGTACAAAATATGAGTTATCTATCCTATTTTATAACCATAATGAGATGCTCGGCCAATTTTAAAATGTCACACTGCCATTAATCTCCCTCTTTTTAAATGAGGTTAATAACTGTAATAACCAACGTTTATTGAACATTTACTTTCCCCTTTGGATGATCCTGAAATGGGGGTAATCTAAGATGTCAGTGAGAGTCAGAAGTGTCTGATTTCAGAGATATTTAATTGTGAAAATGTGTGCATCCTGGAATTTGTGAAGGACAGTACTGTGAGAGAATTTGCCAGACAGACAAAAATAGTGACAAATGTACAGTACATTATATATGGGAGATAATATGACTCCTTTTAATATGTTTTTGTGTATGTTGGACCTGAGAAAAGCGAAGAACACATTTGTCAGACTTTCTTTGAGCTTGGGTTGCACATTTAACGTGGCTCTCCCACCAAACATATGAACCAGGCCCAAGGTGGAGTAAGAAGGAATCAGGCCTATAGTCGTAGAAACCCTCGTTTTCCCAGTGGCAGCAGTGACAGGGCCCCAGCATCTGGCACTAGCTGTGGGTGTTGGGAAGTAGGACACAGGGCACTGCTCCAGCCGAGGTGGTTCCTGGAATCTGCAGTTGGGGCAGTGGATCTCTTGTTCAGTTCCTTGTCTTCTTGATTGTAGCAGAGGTAGAAAGTGAGTGGCCTAGTTCTTGGTGGGGGGTAATCTGGCACCTACTCACAATTTTGTAAGCACCCACCTCCCTCTTTCTACTTTCTGCTTAAACTAGCTACAATAGTTTCTGTATTTGCTACTGAATTCTAAAAGATACACTATCTCTTTTTCTTTGTGATCTGTGTTTTAAGGTATTTCTTCCATTTATTTTTTTCTGGACACTAATCATTAACCTACATAATTGTTTTTGTTTTCATTTTTATTTTTATTTTATGTAATAGTTTTTGGTTGCCTAGAGGTTTTAGGTGTTAATGGAATCTCCTTAAGGGCTATTGTTATTGTTTGTGAAACTCATGGTCTTCTCTAGTCTGGTAATTCTATTTTGCTAGGAGCCCCCATGAATTATTCCGCATTGTCTTCCTTCCTCCAGTTGTTTGGTCCCCCTTAGGTGTGGTGTGCTGTTCCTTTGTTTTGCCCACTCAGGGTTCTGTCGACCCTGGGTGGTCGGGACAGGCTAGTGGTGAGGACAGCACTTTGCTCTGGTAAACCTGCAATTGACAGCAAATCATCTGTCCTCTCTCGGTGCCCTGGGAAACCCCTGCTCTACCGGTCTCTCGGTGTTAGCCTTCCTTTCCTGCTGTCTGTAGCTCCCCAACGTTTGCCTGGCCTGGAAGATTTAGCATGCCTCCCAAGGCTACAGGCATTCAGAGGTGTCGCTCTTCCTCGGGGGAATCCACAGTTTTGC